GATCAAGTTTCACACTATATTCTATACATAAATACAGGAATTTATACAACCAATAAAGATCTTCTATGGATAATTACCAAACAACGCTTTATCAATCCTGGTGATGCTACCATTCATCTCTGAAGAGGCAGCAGAGAAATTTTATGTCCTGTTCAAACTCCTCAGCTTCCCCAAGTCATCAAAAACTCCTCCTTTTACTTTAAACAGCACTACAATCATGTACAGTTCCTGCAAACATTAAATCTTCGCAGTTAGAGTAAGCAGCATCAAACCCGGATGATACGAAAATCATACCACAAAACATACAATCTACGAAAACAGAATCAAAAAAATGGGAGAGCCCGTGGTATAAACGTTAACACTCAGGCGTGGGAGTTGAGAGGTACTAATGTTATCAGGGTGAAAAAATATATTATAATTACTCATATAATTTCTGTGGCTCCTGCTCACAGGAGTGACAAGATGATTTCCTGGTTGTAAGCTGAATGTAGTGCTCCAGCTCACTTACCCTCACCAATATACGTCACTTGTGACTCTACCTTCCACAACGGCTTTCTGCACTGCTAATTGTTAGTTACCAGAGCTGTCAAACTTGTATGCAAGAAGTTAAGACTTAAGGGCACAGAGAGCAATGGAGAAACAGTAGCAAACACCAGTAATGCAATCATTAATAGGAAGCATTGAGCAAAATGGAATCACTGTGGTGGGTTTTGTCTCACATGTCCATTGTGGAATTATCTATGTATACATGTAGTTTTACAGCTTTTTTTAAAGTAGCACTGTGCAACATCCTCCCATGTTTGCTTTATATATTAATTTTCCATTACATGTGAAAAGGATCTCCTGCCAGTCTTCCAGAAAGGAAGACCAGATGCACTGAAGAACACTGATAAATGTACCCTTGAAATAAGATCTGCTCATTATCCAAGCATTATGAAATTTTCATTAAGTCACTTAGCATCGCTGAGTTCAATTACAAAGTCAAAATTAGCAGATTATCTATTTCTCTGCAAAAAGCATAGGAAAACATGAAATGGGCCATTATTTAAAAAAAAAAAAAAATCAATTGCTCTTGTTTGAATTAGAGTTGTATGACATCCCAGTCAGAATTTCTTTGCGCAGGGATGGAGAGACAAAGATGATTTCAATATATTATTTACAGGATCTAGTCTCAAAGTAAGAAATACTGGATTGAAGTAGTCTGGGGGCATTTTTGATCACATGCTTTACGTTTTACTGATATTCCAAGTTTAAAATATTTTTCTTTGAAAGAAAGATGTTTGGGACAAAAAATAGTAGCTAAGGGGAAATACACAAAAACGTATCATAAGGAAGATTTGCAATTGCTCTCATATAAAAATTTTCATTCTTGAACAAGTTTTTTCTTTAAAGGTTTGTAAAAAAAACCCAGCACCTACAACCACGAGTTTGCCTGACCTCATTCAGTTTTTAAGAAGAAGGCATTAGGCATTATAAAGGCAACACTTGCATGATCCAAATCAGAGGATGCTACAGCAACTGAACAGAGTAAGCTGGAAAAATCCTATTTAAAAATGACAAAACAGAAGCATGCACTTAGCAGTCTGCTGCCATTTCAAAGCATGCATTCCTTCTCGTCCTCTTTCTGAGGTGTAGGGCGTTTCACCTGTGTGAATACCAACCAGTTCAAAAAATGCTGATTGCTTTGTAATCCTTTCAGATTTTAAGGCTGCTGATTGACAATGGAAATTAATTGTACTCAACTAGGAAAAAGAAATCATCCAGTAAATTTTGTACAGTGATTTTTTTGTCTTGCCGAATCCAACATGTTGACCTACCGGGATAAGTTGTTTCCTAAAAGAGAACTTCTGGGGACGTATTTACCTTATTTTTGTTGAAACAGTGGGATGCGTGCTTTGAAGCGCTTTAAACATCAGGATGACATTACAGAGAATTCAGTTCATTTAAAACACAACCATGTCTGCCTTTAGCTCTAGGAGATAGTGCTTTTACAGCAGTAAGGAAAAAAACCAATACTTGGAAATTATAATGATCATGAGATAGTAACGCTGTGTTCAAAATCTTTCTTTAGAAAAGCCACATCGCTAAACACAGTTACAACCCATGATCTCAGCAGAGAAACCCCATAAAATATTTTGAGCCTCCTTGTCAGACGCATCTGGAATTGGTAGCCAACACTAGTCTAAGGCATTGAGTTGCATAAGATTTGCTCCCCTGGGCTTCTAGTAAATACAGCATAAATGATACTTACAATTTTCTATTTGCATGTTTCAAAAAAACCTTCTGCTTAGGACAATCAAAGTTAAATTCTTTGGTGGTCATTTAAAAAAACCCTAAGTATACAAAGACGATTGATCAGTTGTCCTGTACTGAGGTAACTTGAAGAGTGTCATAAGAACGTTGTGTTACAAACACCACTTGGCCGTTTTCCCTGCCTAAAAGCATCTCCCATTTTTTAATATGCTCAGCATAGACCACCGCAGCGACCTGAAGAGATCCTGTTCGATAGCCCGTCTCAACACATTGCATATAGCAAGGCTGAAAGTTAGTACAGAGAGTGTATCCTACAGTCAGGAAAGGAAAGTTAAGTTCTTCCATATATTATGTCCTCGGATCGACCAGGAAGATTAACTACATAGTCTACCACAGCATCCATAGATTCGAATGCTCCCACATGTTAAAATATAGCATAGTTTATGGAGAAACAAACAGAGAGGGAAATACAACTTGCAAAGACTTGACAGATGCCACCTGAACATCATTAAAGGGGTGAATGTCAAGTACATTAAAAAAAAAATATACAATCTTCCCACTGTTTGCCTAACTTCCCATTGTTTGCGTATGCTTTTCATACAATAGCATGAAAATCATACTATAAAATTGAAGGGATTTTGGGTTGTTTTTTATGGAAAACCTAATGGAAAACCTTTTACTTTTGTTTGCTTATCAGAATAACCAGTTATGTCCACAGAGCTCCCGCAGCGGAATTGCTGAACGTACAGCAGCAAGAGCACATAGTATTATAACTGGATATAAATGACGCCTGGTTTGCTCCTTTGGAGTCTTTTTTTTTAAGTTAAAGAATGTGGGGTATAGATTTTCCTTTCCAAGGGACAATTCCCATCTGCTTTCCAAGGGATGACTCCCCTCATACTCACGAGAAAGGGAGGGCAAAACCAGGACACAGTACTTGACGTTGGCCCCTTTAAACGGGGAAAATAAACTTTGGAGAAAACAAATGAAACCTCACTCTGCTGCCTACGAGGAAAACATAAATAGATATTAAGATACTCTTTAACCTGAAGGAAATGTCAAAGCTCGTCGATTAAGTGAAAGACAGACGTTCCTCATGCCGCAATGACACGTTGTTAGGAACGGCAAGGAGACAGCGATTCTGTGCAAGTTTTCTGGCAGATGGTGCAACATCATCTCATATCAAACATTTAAGTAGGTTTTTTGTAGCTATATGCAAATTATTTTTCTACTAGATTAATGTTTTTGTGAAAAAATAACCAGGAAATTCAATTATGAAGCTAAGTTTTGTTTAAGTAAACTGTAAATAACCTTGTACGTTCTCGTCTAACGCAATTTCTAAACAAAGATGGTTTTCATTTTTTAACCTGTTTATACTCATGGATTACTATCTTGCATGTGATTCATTTTTGCATGCATAGTGTAAAACCTTACAGTTGGTTTTTAAAATTTTTATGACCTACCGATGTAGGAGTGCCAAGAAGAAACAGATTGATGCCTTTGTAAAGAAATGCATACAGAGACTTTTTTAAATTAATAGTAAATTGGCAATGAGTAAAAGCCTACCCCACAAAAATCAAATCAGCTGCTACACTGTAAAACTCTTATGTATGATAAATAAAATTAATTTTACGGAAAAATTTTCCATTAATCTTTCAACCTGCTTTTTGAACAATAGAATAAATAAAACCATTAGTGCCTAAAAGTTCAAATATGCTACAGATGTTTAAGATAACTGAATAACTACAATAAATGCACCATGAGAAAATTCCTTATCGTTTTCCATGCAGGAAGCCAATCGATATTTTTGTGAGGTACCGGTCTTTCAAAAATACTCATAAGTTAGTTACCTGATATACCTTCTGTACACAGTATATTTAAAAATCTAACTGTACAGTGTTTCAATCATATATAATGCATATAATCTGCTGAATATGGCACAAATGCTAATTTTCCACACCCACGCATCCTTTGCCGTAGAACACATTTTAGGCATAACACAACACTGAAGAATAGAAAAGTGCCTGAAACGGAAAAAAAAAAATAAAATAAAGACACTCAAGTAGTAATAAATTAAATCTCATTCAAACCGATATAAAAGTTGTTCAAGTGTTTTTAAGTATCAGAGGTGTCATGCAACAGAACAACGGACGATTCGGGCAGGCACACCATGCACTAGAGTTTGCATTCATGGTATCCCAAGGCAGCTCTCCCCCTTCTGCGTGGCCAGTGAGTGCTGGGTACCTGCGGCACTGTAGGCTCACGTGTCAAACCTCCAGAACCTCTCGGACTCCTGGACAGGAGGTTTCAGGAAGCTACGCCTGGGAAGGATAACCGGACAACCTCAGGCTGTACAGCGGTATCCTGCCGCCGTGTTAAGGAGAGGCGGACTGCGCTGCAGGTAAGCAAAGCGATCGGTTCTCAATTATATTTTTCCAGTCAGTGCAGTTCACCAGAAACCAACCGGTTTACCAAAATGTGCTTATCCGAACTGGCCAAGTTTGCACAGCAAGCAAACCTCTTCACAGAACATATCGCCTTTTCCTCTTTTTTTTCTTTTTGGCACAAATCCATCTGTACTCTTGCAGCAAGCTCTTCACCAGACAAGAATTCAGAGACGCTAGCCTGTACAAACACACCAGTGCTTATTCTTCCACAGAGTAAACTACAAAGACAGCGAAGTGCCTGCAACAGCTCTGCTTCTCCAGCAACTTTCCCTTCTCTCTCTAGGGAGAGCACCAGCGTGATCACACTTCAGACAAAGGGGTGTTCTTGCCGAGCTCTTTAATTCCCTGGAGAATTCGCTTCATATGGCCCACTTTCGTTATCCCCAGGTCCTATAGAAATTAAAAAAAGAGAGAAAAAGAGAGACAAAAGAAACAGAAGAAACTTTATTTACAAAAGGAGAAAAAAACCCTCACCTTGATTATGATCTAGCCATGCAACAGATGTCTAGAAATGTGCTCGCTGCCATCAACACTAACCAGAAAGGATTCTGTGGCACTAGCAAGTGTTGCCTAACAAAAAAAAAAATCGTTGAGAGCGTACAATGAATCTCCCTCTGTCTTGCAGCCAGAAAATTACTTACCTGCAATAATGGCAACCCAAAGCACAGCAGTATCTGTCAAAAGCACCTTTCGCTTGACTTTGTAAGTACAAAAACCTTTCACAATTTCTAGCAAAAAAAGAACAATCTCCCCCTCCTCTCTAACACAGCAATAAAATGCTTGGGAGGATGTGATGGATTAGCGCTTCTGTCCAGCAATGTCACTTGATCTGAGGCCCTGAGATGTCTGTTTTAATCAACAAACACACACATACCCAGTTTCTCGAGGGAAAGTGGATGTAAGGGCTACAGACATGTAGGACAACTTCCCTTCAGAGAGCAATAGAGACCAGGTAAGCATTTGTTTTTCATTCCAAAAATGGCTACACCTCCTAACATGGATCTTCTCCATTAGAGAGCTGGAAGGAAATTTCTCAAGAACATGACAGTCACATCCCAAAGGAAAATATAAAAGCACAAGCGTAAATCTCCTTGTAGCCACCACTAAAGCAATCATATCAACTGAAACATCTCCCATACCGGTTTCTGAAACCCACCTCTGTATGAGTGACAACAGAAAAGAAATTTTTGCAGCAAACTTCTTGCAGCATTAAAAACAGCTTTAGCATCACCCTTTTTCAATTTTGACTGGTCCAGTGGTCAGAGAAGCAGAATGGGATGCCCACCTGTGCTAATGATCCCCAACTGCGCTAATGAATTTTCAGCTCAGTTTGGTGGAAACCTGCTTACCGTATCCATAAAACCCAGCTTTGGAAAAAAAAAAAAAATCTTTAAAATCCTCATGTTAGTCATGTTGAGCAAGTGGCAGATTCAAACACTAGTTATTTGTAGAATCATAGAATCACAGAATGGTTTGGGTTGGCAGGGACCATAAAGACCATCCAGTTCCAGCCCCCCTGCCATGGGCAGGGACACCTTCCACTAGACCAGGTTGCTCAAAGCCTCATCCAGCCTGGCCTTGAACACTTCCAGGGATGGGGCATCCACAGCTTCTCTGGGCAACCTGTTCCAGTGCCTCACCACCCTCACAGCCTTATGTAACTAGATTGTGATTAAATAAATAAAAGGTCCACTATCTATTCTTCTGAAAGAGAAATCCTTTCATTTTAATAAGAAGATTTTCCATTACAAAGACATGAAAAGGACGGGACTGTAATTAAGCAGCTTGAAATTATTACTCTCATACAGAGCGAAAATTGAAACCAAACAAAATATTCTATACACACTCTGCACAAAGACTGTATCTACCTTTCTACAGTCAGAAACCTCAGGAAATCTACACTTTGTGTTACTTAGAAGCGTTAGCACGCAACTCATTTTTCATTTCTCCAAAGCAAGAAAGAGGTGGTAAGATGGGCATGAATTAATTATTTTATTGTAAAGGTACCACAACACAGATTAAAGAAGTGGATTAATATTCAGAGAGTCAAGATTGAATTCCAGTTATGTTAGACATGAAAAAAGAAAAAAAAAGGTTGTTTGTTCAGTAGAAAACTGTCAGTACTATAAATACCTGACCATCCTTTGCAGTATCTGGGCAAGTGTTGTTCATAAACCTATCTGAAAAAAACCTGATTTTCCACGTCACATCAATTTATAAGCACTTAATTAACACATACAGAAATGTAGCACTAATTTTTAAGTTGAAAGAAGTGATGTAGGTAGCAGCTGTTAAACTTATCCCACGATGACAGTAACACAGCATTTTAGATTTGGAGAATTAGATTTAAATCTAAATTTAGATTTCTTGTTTATGCTAAACTTAATTTTCCAATGAATCAAAACCACACACGACTACTGAAATTACTGAAATAGCCTAGCTGCTATGTGGAGGAAATTCTCCACAAGGAAAAACCCATAAGGATACTTTCCAAACCACAGGAAGCCACACATGTATTGAAGGTTAAGAAGTTGCAAATTCTTCAGAACAAACATTTTTCATGAACAGAACTTCTGTTGGATAAGCAACATAGCGAGATGCTGCCAGATTTCAAAGATCAGAGGAAAGAATCATATTATGAAACTCCCAGAAAACTCAGCCACTTTTTTCCACCAGCCTTCACAATGTATTGTCAACGACGCCTATGTTTCAGAGGCAAGAGACTTCAGTTTTATTTCTGTTTGAGTTGAAGTTGCTGTAATGTAGATCACAACAGCAAGCCTCGAGAGCCTTTCCATGATTTTGGGGACCCTTCTGATAAATCCTGCCACACTTCCAGGAAAAAAACAAAACAAAACAAAACAACCACAACCAACAAAAAAAAACTCAGAATTTTTATGCTGTGTAATAGCATCATTTGGAGGAAATGAAGATTTATACATTACTGACACTAGATGCTAACTAAGTATTCTCAGTTTACTACTGGTGCAGGAATGTTTGCAGAAATTCTGTCCTCTCAGAATAAAAGGATCTGCTAGAGCAGCATAAGACGCATCATTCACAACAGCAAAATCCCCAAAGATCTCTGCATTCCTGAGTTTCACCATGCTCTACATTATCTGTCCCTACTTAACTGACTTGTAATTAACAAAAAACCAATTTGACTAAAATACAGTTTTGAAGACAAGACTCCAGCCAGAGTTTGAGGAAGAAAATAGCCCTTCTTTTTCCCCAGCTATGGCCATAAAACAACAGAATCACCTCTTCTTCTGCTCTCCCTAGCCACCTTGCCACTCTAGGCCTTCAACACATAAGGCTCAAAAAATGCTCAAAAGGAAAAAAAAAAAGTTTGGGCAACAAAAAGGCTGATCACAATTCTTGCAACACTTTTCAGGCGTTGTCTGCATTATACTATGGTGATTGCCCATCTGCTTATCCAAGAACCTATTTATACCAGGTTTTCCCCATAGATTTTGGCCAAATGTCCCAGCAGTGTAACACTGCCAAGCAATTCATATATACATTCCTTAAGTTCTTCCAGATGAGAAGCCTACCCCACTTGCATTCCCAGTGGCAAAAGCCATCTAGCATGCCTAAGCCTAACAAATCCTACAAAACATTTTCCATGCAAGAACTTTTTCAAAACACGCTACTGCGAAACACAGAGATGAAATCCTGCCGTTCTCAGCACAGGCTTCAGCTCACCAAGCCGACACGAGGCATGGAAACCCTTTCTCCAAGGAAACTAGCATTGCTGTGGAGTTCTAAGGAGACATCATCCTCGTCCTACCAAATGTGTTGCAGTGCTGACTATTACTAAGCTGTGTGTCTACGGACACAGTTATCAGTGCTAAGAATACCAGCGTTTACTTCAGAAAAATCAGTCTAATTTTCAACACGTTTGCTTGTAAAATGAGGTCAAAAAGTGAGTCACAACAAGCTTTCTTTCTACAGTTTCTACTGAATAGTTTGCAATTCACTGCCCAGCTTTCCTCAAGCAAAATAAAAATCACATGGGTGTAAAAGCTCAAGATGCCCCTAAATAAAATAAGGCATAGTAGGCTGGAGAAAAGGTATTACTGCAGGGGCTGGGTGGGGAGAGGTAATCTGGTTCCTCTTGGTGGTGTTCTCCGTTTGCCAGTTGCCACACAGAGCTGAGAGTGGGACCCACAAGGTACACAGAAATATAATTAGAGGTGTCCAGTTCTTCAGTGAGCATATCGATCTATTTCAGTGATGTGTGCAAACAGCGAGCTTCTTCAAACCCTTTTCCCTACTGCTTTTTGTCTCTGCTTTCGACTACAGAAAGAAAGGAGGGCACAGAGGTTTCAATTAAAACAGGCAACGATTTTTTCCGTTGTAGACATGAGAGGTAATAGAAGTAAATCGAAGCACATGACTTAAGAGCTTGTGAATCAATGGTGAGCCCATTTAGCTTGGCAGGAAGCAGAGGCCTTGCACTGGAGGAGAGGCTGTAGACAGATTATAGCTCACAAAAGCACTGACGACTCATCTGCACACCTCGACAGTCAAAGGGAGGAAAAATTAAAGGGCTGCTTGTGACGTGTTCCTCATTTCCTAGCTACCATATTACACATCTTGACACCAATCCAGGTCACTGGCCAGGAAACTGCAGGCTCCCTGAGCCACCCTTAATTGGTTCCCTGCAGAGATCGCGCCCCGTATGTAATGAACAGGGCAAGTGCTAAACTGTGCTATCTAAATTCAGCGTTGCTACACAGTGCACAAGCCAGGCTTGGCCGAAAGCCTGGCCTACCTCTCGAACAGCACCGCTGGGGGAGCTCTCAGCTCTGCTAACGAGCAGATGGGATGATTCTAGCGCAAGACGTCTGCTAGCACAGGATATATATACCCTTGGCACCTCGTGTAGAGCAACTCCTCGCCCAGCTATGCTGAGCAATTTAAAACCTGCATACGTGCTTCCAGGCAGCACTAAACAGGAGAGTAAGAGTCTGTCTCTGTAGGCTCTAACACAAGATTTTAGATGTTTCAGGGCATAGGCTGGATCTATGCTGAATCAGCATGAATCTTAGCAGCAGGGATGCTCTGCTCTCCGTGAAGAACTTCTTCCTGATATCTAATCTAAACCTCCCCACTTTCAATTTAAACCCGTTACCCCTTGTCCTGTCACTACAGGCCCTTGCAAAAAGCCCCCTCTCAGCTTCCTTGTAGCCCCTTCAGGTACTGGAAGGCTGCAATAAGGCATGTCTAGTTTAAAAGACCAATCTTACTATTATTTATTCCAGAAAATTTGACTTTTTTTAAAAAAATTAAGATGTCTTAACATTTTATAGCAAACTTATGCATCACGTCATGCTGAGTTTCTCAGTTAAATACAAATTTGTTCAGGGCCCACTCAAACCAGGGACTTGCAACATCCATCAATGGAAGGTTGTGGCGGACTGCTTGCAGAGTTTTCTATTTCTAAAGTTTTGCAGAGGGGGATTGTCCTGAAACTGACCCTCCATGTCAGGAACTATCCTGACAGAAAAGCATTTAACTTTCATGGAAAGAAGTTTAGGCAAACTAACACCAAAGGGTAAAATAATACACAACACCTAAACAGATCATCTCAAACAGAGGTATCTTCAGCAGCTGCATTCTGCTGCAACAGTCACGCAATGTAAGCACTACCTTATAATGTCAGGATTTCGTAGTATGTAAGAAGCTTCACAAAAAATGGCACATCTGTATGAAAGTATTGCCTCTATCTGGAGACAACTGCACTGTGGCTAGAGCGATGACTTGCACTCTAAATGTTTGTGATATGTACAATATCCTATTTCCTCTTTTATGTGCTAAAAGCAGTTGCAAAACACATTATCAAGACTCATTACTATTTAGTTCCTGGAAAAAGTAATGTAATGAATCCCCAAAGATACAGCCTCTATTACATATAATGGATGCACTTAAGTAATTCTTGAAAAAAGGCCAGCGAGCTCAAATAACAGCCTCACACTGCTAGGTAACATTTCTCCCTGCAAAACCTATCAATCTGGTCTTAGAGGAAGGAAGTTCTACAGTCTTGGAGACAAAAGAAAGTTCTCTTTTTTTACACCTATATAGCTAAAATCAGGCAGAGGTTGGTCGGGGACAAGAAAACCTATTGCAAAGGTCTATTTGACATACAAACACCAACATAAGTCCAATGCCTCAATTTACTATGCTGCTAATCTCTCACACACCCACTACATCCAATATATATATACAATAAGTCACCTGAAGCAGGTCAGCTGCTCGTAGTTGCTGACCTTGCAGTTTGATAGATTCAAAATTAGTGCCACCACCTTCAACTGATCCATACTGATCCTATTTAATGGGAACAGTGAACTCTTGAAGATAACATTATACCACACTGATGTCAGTACGATATCAAATGTGCTTTTCCTATGTCTTCTGACATAAACCATAATGCTATCATTCTACATAAAATGGCAAAAACCACAGAAATTCTTGGTTGCGAGTACAAGTCAGCACTTCAGAAATCCAGGCCAAAGGACAGCACGTATTAGTTTATTGCATATTTGCACAGTGTAAGCCAAGCTACAAGCACATAACAAGTGCAGGGAAAGAAGAAAAGTTGGTTGTTGTTTTGTCAAAGAAAATGGTCAATAGCAGAAAAGTAGCACAAAGGAAATACCTTAAGATCTCGCCTTTCCAGATGTAAAAGCTCAGAGCCTCGGATGTCATGGCTGATGAAGATTTCTTTGTACTCTCCCAAACTGAGCAGATCCAGCCAAGCAGCAACTTCATCTGTGCCCCATTTTTGAACTACCAAAGTTAAGAGCAAAACGCCCTTAATTTCTACATGCTCAAATGCATCACAAGCAAAGGTTAGGCCAAAGAGAGTGGAAAACAGAGTAGAATTGCCGTGCTAGCGAAGGGAAAGGTTAGAGGTGTCATTTCCACAAAAACTGACAATTTCTGTTTCACATGCAGGTTACAGGTTAGCAGTTAACATGAGAAAGTATCTAAACAAAGTTGGGGTTCTTTGCTTTGCAGCCATGCTTTCAGCTTTACTCCAGTTTCTTCAGTAAAGCCTTGAAAACCTCATGTCCCAACAAATTCACATAAAACCATCTTAGGATCAGTGACGCAAAGACTAACGTTGTTCTGCTTTATACCATTAATTTATTAGTAGTCATCCAGGGAGGGGAGAAGCCTTCAAAAACTAATTACCATGTGAAATTAAAATATCAACCATACCTCAAATATAGCAATGGCAGCAAGCAAGTCCAGTTTTAATTAACGTTTTCTAGTATTCTTAATTAATGCAACAAGTATTCTTTAAGCTCCTGTGTTACACAGGCCATTAATAAGCTCTCTGTAAAACATTGTTCTCTAAGGTCAGTTGCCCACATTAGTCCTAATAAGACCACATTTATTGAAAAAAAAAAATAGTTATGCTACTTATTGCTATTAATCTTGCAACTTCATTCAATGCTGATCAATTTTACATTGAAGTGAAATCTGAAGTCTAATCTGAACACTGAAGTCTGATCAACAACTGCAAGATCTTGCAGATTATGACCAACTGTCCATTAAAAAGACAAAGATGTAGTAATAGTTTTAGGACCATCTGATCACTGATTAACTCCTGGACATAATCTTAAGGAAATAAGTTCATGGATAAGAGTGGGAAGAGAGGAGAGTGGAGTTTGTTCAACTTCTAATTAAAAAAATCAGTATTGACTATCATGGTTTTTTGTTTGCTTTGTCTCACTTGCTGAACTTAAAACACATCTGAAATTTAAGAATAACTGGTTAATTAAACCAGTGTGATAAAAGCTACTGCGCACCTTCTGAAACTAACCTGAAACACCTGAATTGGAGCTTCACAGGGAAACAACGTGTTTACCTACAACTTGGCGTTGCTATGAGTTGCTACACCACCAAAGACACAGGTCCTGTTGCATGATAAAACTATCTAAATATTTTCACACTAGTTCTTTGGTTCACTTGGAAGCCTTGGGGTCCTACTGAATGCTTTCTAAATGCACTGAAAGAAATCTTCACCATAATGAAGATGCCAGTTAGCTCAGTTGCTTTTCACTTTGACTTTTAGATAAAGAGCATCATGTCAGCTCTTAACAAAAAAAACCCCATAAAATCACATTTTCCCCAAATGCTACTATTTTTCTTGTAATTTCAAAACACATACCAGGCTGAGGGCTGGTCTTATGCTTCTGAACTTTCTCTTTTTTAAACTTTGGCACTATGCGAAACACTGTACTTCTGTTGTTTCTTTTAGCATAATCCAGAGGAGGATCCTGCATGAAAGAAGAGGTAACATAGTTACCTTTAATTAATGGAAAACAAGTTAAAATATATGGTTGACATGGGAATTCATAGTGAATCTCAGAAACCAAGACCAAATTTACTTCTGTAAAGAATAACATTAGGATTTCAGTCTATACTTGTTTCATTTATTAATTAACTATCCAAAACCCTGACATTCACAAAAGGGAAGGAAACACAAAAAAAGCCTTAAGCTTGGATGCTTGTTCACAGCAGACAGAAAGGATCCAGCATCACTACTGAACCTGCCTCTCCAGATCACGATGTTTTCTAACTTATTCGTCCCTATCGAAAGAAAATTAAGTTCAGTGAGAAACAGGAAGTATTCAAATCAAACTTACCTCATCATCATTTGGCTGAAAAACATAATAAAGCCAAGGTATCTCAGCAAGTTTTCTCAACTCTATTTCTACGCTGTGCAAAGCATCAGACAACAGCTCTTCATGAGGGGCTTCTAACTGCTGTTCATAAACAGGCCAGAAAATAAGTATTTTTAGTTTTGTTAATATAATAACATTGAATTCTAGATATATTGTTGCCACACACAAACAGATGACTACTTCACAGTAAGTGTAAACAAATAATCTTACCAAATTAGATTTTCCTTCAGAGATGGGTCAGACCACCCTGACACTACATTTAGTATGGCCCCAACCACAAAGGGATGACTGAGACAGCCGAGACTTTTGGTGTAGACCTGCTGTCAATCACTGTCATCATTCACCAGACTCCTGAGTCTCCAAAGAGCCAAAGGTATCTGGTAACGCCAATTAGAACACATTAGAAATGGAGACTACCAGCACAAGGGAGATAAAACTTGAGCAGAAGAAGAGGAGCCTGGAAAATCCTTGTATGAAAAGTGGTGTAAAAAAATTAAATACATGGTAGTACGTCTGAGTTATCATCTGCAAATGTCTTCATGTGATGGATTACTCTCTCATCGTCAAGTAAGAGGAAATGGACCTTACCAAAGATGATCCATTTCCAAAAGCCTTCCAGCGAGGATACAATATCTGCACTACTCCTTCTAAACAGGTGAGACATGGAGTGATAGCAACTGCTGCTAGCTGAGGGTGGGAAGAACGGGGACCAGGCATGGAAGAGGGACATGATTGCAGCCGCAGATGGGAGGTCAAAGAGGAAAAGAAAGTGGTAGCAGTGTAAAAATCTTGGGACTTGCTGGCCTAAAGGAATTTGGCTCTATCAACACTTTGAGAACCCTATGGAGGTACCAGTTTTCCTCAAAATCCCGTTTTGAAAACTATTCTGCTGCTGCTGTGTGAGTCAAACGTGAGGAAGAGGTAAGGCAGGCAGCTGGCAAAGCTGGTTTTGGCTTATCTGGTGTTGCTGAAATACCATTTTGAGGTTCAATCCTGGAATGAGTTCCTTGGAATCACTACTAAAGCAATCTGAACATCTATTTCTCTCTTTGAAGTAAAACAAGTCCCAGAGCAGTGAAGACTATCCTTCTGAAAGGATCTAATTAAGTAATATTCTAGTGAATGTATTTTTAAAATGGAGTTGTAAGAGAATCTTTGATTGCTAGTGCTGGGGAAAGGCTTTGATGTTCTTGGGGTTTGGCGACAAGTTACAAGCCCCCATTAATTTATCCTGCCTAACAAAAACTCACTTCCTTTGCTTCAGCAGCTTGCATAGGCTATCACCTTTCAACGGAGAAACCCTCTTCAGTGAGATATTGCTGTTCAGTATAGCAATACTGGAAATGTAAGCTCCCTCTTGTGATCGTGTTCTTTTCTAAAGCTCACAGAATTCAGCACCCATAAGCAGACTCTGATCCTTTGTTTGCCTTCCCTTTTTTTCCCATATGAAGAGTTCAGTTATATTTGGAGCACAATGGAATACCCACCTGTCTTTCAAAAAGTTACAACTGTTCTCGTGTTTTCATTTTTTAAAAGTTATTTAAGTAATCTATTTTATATAAATGAGTGAAGCAAAAACTCCTCTCTTTCTCAACAAGCACTGGTCTTTGCTTGATTCTCAAAGGAAAACATTTTGCTTGAGGATAAAAGAAACCTTTCATCTGATGGTGGGGAAGTGTATGCATTAGCAATATTGTTCCTGAAATAAACCCAAACCAATCATGCAATTCTGGTGAAGGAGGAGTCAGCAATTTAGGGTAAATTCTCCTAGACCATCTAGGAAAAACTTCTGATTTCCAAAGGGAAAATTAACACTATGAATGAAACACCAAAGATTCAGTGTTTTTTCAATTCCTTCCCAAGTTAAATTTTTAATATGAAAGTACTTGATTTTAGTGAGCTCAGATAATTTCATTCAATTTAAATGAAGCATTCTGTCATACTTCTCCCTTAATACACTGGAAAACTGTGTTCTGTTCCAGACTAGAAATGCTTTTAAAGAAGCAAAAAACTGAAAAAGTACTTTTAGAAAATATCTAGACAAAATGTGACTTTTAAAATTTTTTTCCAAAGTGTATTCCAGCCATAACCAGCTGGGAGATTCCACAAATCAGCTCCATTGTCCCATCTACTTCACTAAAAATGGTATTTATAGGTAATTCACTCTCTGATGTCACCTAGCTATTACTGTTGTATGAACTTTTAAAATCATACCTTGCAGGAGGTGGCAGAAGTCACAGTCTCCTTGTATAAGGATTTACATTTCTTTTGTCTCCTTCAGGAGCCATAACAGAAAGACTCAAGAGCCAGTAAATGGCAACCAAGGAAAAAGCTTAACAAGTACTGTATGCAATAAAGGCATCAATTTACTGCTATCAGGAGCTTTGATCACAAAAGAGAGGGGTGAAGGAGAATTGAAGAGGCAAATAAAAGCCTAAGAGGAGGACCTCAAAGAAAAAAGGTCCATCTTTGTCAGAGGAGAAAGGTCATTTGGAGAACAGTGTATGATGGCAGTGGCTGATGCATCAATCCACACCTTACATTTTGTCTTTTTCTATATTAATAGAGGGACCAACATAAACGTAGCTTCAGCATTTATAAAATACCTGACATAAAATTAAGCAGGGAGCCTCGCTATTATCACAGTGAAACACAGTTCTAAACAAGCACGATGTCAAATGAGTGCAACAGACATCTCCAGAAGATTATCCCGGTATCTTCCAAAGAGCCTTTTTATTAAAAAATGGGTTTGATGTATACTCATGAAGACATTTGCACAGACCATAATGAGAAGCAGAAATACAACATGTAAAAATCAGAAACGGAAAAATGAATCAAATTAAGCTTTGGAGCCTGAATAAGGGACCAGTTCAACCACACAATGAGATCACAACTGGCTGTAGAAAAGGTAAAGTTCCAATGAGAAGGTTTCCATAATAAGATTATTTCCAGACTGCCTTGATAAATTACACTACTCCTAGTACTGCATCACCAACTTAAACCTTTTCTTCTAACTCCTCTTCCTAAACCATTTTAAAATTTTAACAGATTTCCCTGTTTTGATTCTCCATTCAATCTGAAATACAGGGATTAGTAATAGCAACTTCAAAAAAAAGAGCAGGTATTTTTCCCTTTTCTGGGACAAAAACATCTAATGGATAACTTTCCATTCCAAAGACTCATAAAATAGATCATATGAGCCTAATCTTTGACTATTTCTGGAACTGGTTATTAGTCTTCAGACTATATTAACTTCTGGTTACTGTAGAACAGACTCGTACAATTTATCACCTGTGTAAAAAGGTACCTGAACCTGCAGAGGTAAGTTTCATACCCTAACTCAGCTAAATTAACACAATCCTATTGAGACTCATTTTTAATTATTACATTTAAATAAACAGTAAGTTAGTAATAAATCTGCTTTTGAATCCAAATGTAAAATGTAACTGTTCCTACTATCATCTTAATGTAAAACTGGTCCAACACAGAAAAACTGACATCTTTCTTCTCTTCACAGTGTCACATATAGAGATTTTCAAGTTGTATATCCAGGTACAACAACTCTTGACCAGTCTTCATCATTTTAGGCACAAAACACTAGCCAAAGAAAAAGATGTGAAGTCTTCAAGCACCACCAGATGCCTACTGAACACTTACCAGTTAAAGGTTGTAAAATAATTCCTGACGGGTATCAGAACAAGGGTGAGATTTACTTGCTCATATTAGATCTGTAGAAGTTGAGTATGTGTGAGTCTAAACCGCTCTCACCCCAGATTTTCTTTGAACTCTGAAGACAGCCACATAATAGAACTCCAGAAGTTCTCTTAAATGCTAACCTCCAGAAGGCGATTTATCTTTTTCTAAGGTAGGCCTCCAAGCTGAGCGTGAACAACCTCAACAGGGATACATATTTCTCTCTACTGATTATTGAAAAGAAGAGCCCAGGCAATGACCTTTTAGATCTCTGAAGTGAGGTAAGATGGATGCTAACCTAGGACATGAATTTCATAACTCATCCCAATCCAAACCACAAATGCAGTGCAGTATCCTCCAATCAGCCTTACAGAGTTTCGTGTAGCATGTCATAAACCCTGTGCCCATTTAAAAAATCAGCAAAGAACAAGTCACATATAATCTGAATGAGGGAATAAACCCACGTATTTTGTGACCTTACCAAAGGAACTCTTCCTACGAGCAGAGATTCAGTTTCATTATGTAGGGCCTTCACATTGACAGCTATTTCCATGGCAGTGTTTCTGGTAAGGCTCTGGGGAATAACAAGCATAAAAGTTATTTGAAGGGATGCAAGTCAGACTCAGAATAAGTTCTTTAGGCTTACAGCACAGATCTTAAGCATCCTCTACTAGAAGAAACACATCAATTTAGCTCTACACTGACAACTTCTTCAGCTCTGAGAACAGAAAACAAAAACGCAGCATCTATTTACTGTCTTTTCCCCAACCTCATTTCATATCACTTTATACAGCCCTGAAGATCATCCAGTGACCAGCCACCCATGAGATGAACCCATGATTTGTATGGATGACAAAGGCCAGCAGAAAAGTTGTGGGTCTTATTTAACAACTGATGATCCAAACTTTTCACCTTATCCTCTGCAGAAGTAAGCTGCTAGCCATATTTGAAGAAGCAAAAGGTTAACCAATATATTCACCATACGTAAAACTTACGTTAGACACAGACACTCCCTACCTAATTAATCTTTTTTTGGTCCAATCCTTTAAAACACCTAGATTGTCTAGTGTGAAGAGAGAAACCAAGAAACTGATTTCCCCCCACCCTCTCTACATTCTCTGCATCACACCTGGATAACAGTAAAGCATGAAAATGTCTATGAATTGACCTGTAAGTAGTAAGAGCATTTGTTCAGCCTCTGTCATGCCTCTGCTCTGTGTCTGGGGACAGAGACTGCCTACACAGTTGTCTGCAAACAGACGTGAGCTTACTTTGCCTATTGTTTCTGCTGCTTGCTGACCCGAGTTTGGGTTATTCATGCTCAGAGCTGCATTAGTACATCACCTCACTTGATTTAATTAGCACTGCTGCATCACTGTAGGATGAGCACCCATGGCTGAGGACCTCTGTGGCAGATGGAGCAAATTCTCAACTTCTAAAAGGCAACAGACATACTCTTACCATGCCCCTAATCCAAGCTCCTCATCTGTAGTGACAGGATAGGGGTAATGGGTTTAAATTGAAAGTGGGGAGGTTTAGATTAGATATCAGGAAGAAGTTCTTCCTGGAGAGGGTGGTGAGGCACTGGAACAGGTTGCCCAGAGAAGCTGTGGATGCCCCATCCCTGGAAGTGTTCAAGGCCAGGCTGGATGAGGCTTTGAGCAACCTGGTCTAGTGGAAGGTGTCCCTGCCCATGGCAGGGGGCTTGGAACTGGATGGGCTTTCAGGTCCCTTCCCACCCAAACTATTCTGTGATTCTGTGATCTCCGTTTTGACTGCTCACTGGCCCCTGCAAAAACATGCAGAAGGTCTGCATTTTAAGTGTCATTAAAGGCCCTTTCTAATATTCAGCGTTCATAACAGAAAATATCAGCGGGGGAGGACAATGCTAAATGCAGAAACTGCATCTACTGCCTTCTCAGATACCGTATCGATCTAACATCAGGAGGGTGATCCTCCTCTTTAAGAGTACTCTGTGAAAAGGCAGTTCTCCTAACTCCCATTCCTGGTATTATTAATAAATTTCAGAATCACTAAGCATGATCTCTACCAAATTCATCAGTTATGGGGTGTTTCCCGGTGCATGTGAAGGGCTGAGAGTCCCTACTGCTAGAGAGCATCTGCAGAATCAGAATTTTCCCTTTACTTTCATCTTCGAAAAAGTGACAAAAAAGGGAAGAAGACATAGCATCCATTCATCTGTTAAGCAATTTCTCTTAAATTTGAGCATGTGTATGTATATTTAGAAGTTTTGATCATCCAACTTGTTTTAATATGAGTACAGGAAGTACAATAAAGCTCCCATGTCACAAGCTTATGCCCACAGATATTACAGCTTATTTACTCATACATAAATCTCTGTCCTTCCTTTACCTCAGGAAACCTTGGGTTGGCTTTATTTAACGCATGTGAACATGCATTAACAGCATGAGCAAGCTCCTGCTCCAAGAGGCCATGTATTTTTGCTGCTTCACAGATTCTACAAAAATATAAAAAAAGAGAATAATATTTCTCACCTCATTTAAAGAATAATTGTTAACCACAACATTATCAGAGGAGAAAACATACAAAGGTATGATTCATGAAACACTTCTTTATAACAAAAGTTGAATTCCAAGTATCTCTTAAAGCAACACAGCACCTCATATAAAAGATATCCATAACATAGATGATTTATTCTGCTATGAAATACTGAGACACATTCATTTATATCAGGACACAAATGCTACATAAAAATTGTACCAAAAAATGCTGAGGCTATTAATTCAAATAAACTATAGAAGAAAATCCTAGCATGTAAAGATAATTTACTTCAAGTTACCTTAAAACCCATGACACTTATTTTACAGATGTGACACTGAAATTGGCTGCAATCATTGAGATTATGGGAGGTCCAGCTGTAATTTCAACCTCAGGACAATCTCTAGAACAGTAAGGTTTTTAAGCTGTCTTGGCTAAACTTCACTTTGGGTAATTTATAACCTAAATTATTCTTCTATGTCTACTTAAGTCACCAGTACATTATAAAAAGAGTATATAGCTCTTCAATTCCTTTCTTACATTACCAGCGCAGCTTAACACATACTCCAAGAACTGATTCTGATACTTAAGATAATTTATCATGATGAACTGAACAGCAGCTTTCTAAAGTGTTCTGATTAAAAAAAAAAAACAACACCCTTTTAAAAAAGAACTAGGTTATCATTCTGTGAAAACTGAAGTGTCTTCTTTATTAAAACACCTTCATCTCAGGAAGAAAGTAGTTTCTCAAAATAAGCAAGGCTGTGGGATCAGTTTTATACCATCAGCCCACTCTCATCTCAACCCATACATCTTACTGAAGTGTCCAGGGGCACAGAGATGAGGATTTTGAGCATTAGGAACGAAACAGAAAGCTGCAGTGACAATGAATGAGTGGATGAACGCAAAAAGGTGTGAAAATTTTATCTGGCAATTTGGGCTCCCTGAATGTTGGTGTATTAACTGTCTACTTGTACAATATTTTAAGCAAACTTTCAGTTTTATTGAAAAGTGCTCACAGTAAAAATGTGAGTAACAAGGCTTTAAGGAGAAATAAGGTCAGGAGGAGTTAAGGCCAGATGGATACATCCACACTGTTGACTTCTAAGGGATTTTTTTTTTCAATAAATGTATTTTTTCTTTTGCATAAAATGACAAGTTTCAATCAAAAACCTCTCTGCAAACAAGCTTTCCACTTTTCCATTTCCACTGCTCCCTCAGAAAGTCATTTTTCACAAGAAAAAAAATACATAAACATATGAAAATAAAATTTGACAAGTACGTAAGAAATACATATACTAACAGTTTAAGCCTTAAAAATAAAATACCATAAAACTAATTTGATTAAAAAAATAACTGATAGAGTGAACACTAAACATTATTCAAAAACCAGGGACAATACACACTTTTATGCCTATGTATGCATTTGCATGAATAATTCAGTCTTGGTTTCTAGGTTACCAAACCAAACATTAATTTCACTGTACCTGGTAATAAGTTCTTCTGCAGCTTGTGAGCACAGCTGGATCTGTGCAACTTCCTCCTCCGTAGCCAACTCAACAGCCTGCTGAGGGTACAAGGGAGATCGAATGACAGGTTTACAGGAATCATACTTCTGTTTGTCTTCCCAAGACTTCAGGGTGTTTTCAAAGGCCTAATCAAAATGAATTATACATTCAGTTCACAGCACTTGAAGTATTCTTACTAGGTTTAAAATTTGTTTTTATATTTTATATAAATTTTAATTCATATAAAATGTTAGTTAAAATTAATTTAACGAATAAAGATATTTTAGTTTACATTTTATATAAAGAATCCCAACTGTATAAATAATAATATGATAATATGACATTTAACTTCTTTAACTCAGTTTAGAGAACAAGTCACATCCAAAAGCTCTATCTCCCCCCAGTTATCCTCATTAAATGTCTTCCAAAACAATAAAAACACAAAGACACTCGTACTATAAGCACATTTTGTGCAGATAGCAATATCCAAATCTGAAACTAATACCATATTCAAACTTAAAAATAGTGGGAAAAAGTAACAGATTTACTAAAATAGAGTTAAAATGCCATTAACTCCACCCTAAATTCAACATGCCGTTAGTGGACACAGGATTGAGGGGCCTTTCACACCGTAATCCTAGACCAGTGTGAACTCTCCAGTGGCTTTCTGACTACATACTGCTTGTGTCTGAAACTGCGTCATGGGGGTGAGGGAGGATTAGCAGGACAGAGGGGAGAGAAATATGCAGACAGTTATTCTGGAAGATGGAGATTATAGAATTTTTGCTATTTATGCAACTGTGTTAAAAATTCTCGTATGCAATTGTGTATAACACATCTGGAGGAGGAGAAGGAGAAGGAAGAGGAGGAGAAGGAGGAGAGAAAGAAAGGAAGGTTATAAAATTTTGACCATTATTCTTCTTACTGTATATATTAGTAAGAATACAGGAATAGCACTAACAAAACTGATAAAAGCTAACAAAGAGCTGTATCACTTACATAAAAGAACAATAATCTGTCCATCTTAATACTGAAATTATATAACTAAATAATTATATAAATAGAAAACTTTTTTAAGCACTATTTATTCATGTTAAACTGAATCAAATTATTACAGAAACGATGTTAGTAGGGGTATCTCGTAACACACTTTCTACAACATACTCTGTCTCGTGTTAGCATCTGAGCTCTGTTTTTATGTATGATCTTAATAACTCCTGGGGGCTGGATCCACGCCTCTCCATCAACTTGCACTGGAACCCCTTCATCACCAAGTATGGTGATCTTTACTGACCGACACTGGAAAAAAACCAAACACGTTATTTTACAGAGCAATAAATACTCATGAAACTGACAGGCCACCTGAAGTATGTTGATTACTAGGAGCTGTGGCTTCCCTCCAGGACTGTCTCAAGGACAAAGCACTTTTATACTTCATTCATCATCGAAGACAATTTGTTATCCGTTAAAATTAAAACAATGTCAGTGTTTTATTAATGTATAGGGTGGTGGTCATCAAGAGTACCACTGCTTGCCAGCATTCTTTTCCTTCAGGCAGCACCAGTAAAAATAGAA